CTTACCTCTGGTGTCTTTCACTATTCTCTAGTCCAGAGATTATATGGTAACCAGTATCACATTTGTACATAATTGATGTGATCAGCACTACCTTGGATACTGTGTGGGGTCCCATTTGTGTTGTGCCTTGATTGCTGCTCCTGTTGTGAGCCCAGTTCCCTCTCCCTTTTGTTCTTTTACTACCAGGATACCCTGTTTACACAACCCATCCTCTTGACTAATGCAGCATTACAGTAAACAAAATAGCAAAAGCAAGGTACCATAAAAGTAATGGCTCTGAAAAATCCATTTTTTATGTATTAGATTAGGTAGCTTGGGTTCATGCATTTTTGGTTAGGTTAGGACATTGTATTTGATACATTGAGGCAAATCTAGAGAATGGGCAGGTTTACAAGATTCACTCTTGGTCCACATTGGCAAGGTATAACTGCATGTTGATCCTATTCCCCTCCTCCCTGTGAGGTTAGGTTCTGATCTATTTGGTGAAAGCATGTAATTCATGTTAGGAGCTTCTATAACTGCAGGCATTTCAAAACCAAGGAAACCTCTGCATCGGGAAAGGGAGTTTAGGTTAGGTTAAAATAGGTGGGTTCCCATTCCTGGTATTCCCCTTTCTACTGAGGGAATCTGTGGGTGGGCTGGGAAATGTGCCCTTACTAGCATATTCTGCAAGGAGGCTCCCGTTTTCCAAGCTATCAGGTGGGGTTCCAAAGGGAAATGTTGCCATGCTGCTATCCACTGCCAAAGCTTGTTTACCTCCTCCCTATAGGTTCTTGATGCTGTTGGAATATACAGTACATTGTTCGGGAGCACCATTCCAGGTAAGGTAATCAACTACTAGTACCATCCTGCCTCTGTAGTTTCAACTTTTTCCACTGATTCCTGAAAATTCCTCTGGTTATCCCTATCCCTGAAAAATGACCATATCATATCTAAATCCTTTTTGAGTTCCATGTCCACCACTTTATTTGAATGCCTAACGAATAGGGGACATCTCTATGTTGCATGACAGGAAGTATATAAGACTTAATCCTTGTAGAACACTACTTTGGATTCTGTTCAGGTATACACAGGTGTCAAGGAAAGATTGTTCTTTTGGGCTAGATTCCACTATAAAACCCAAATCTGTGAACACCATTAGCCTATGTGTGAAAATTCTTGATCTCTACTTCCCCTCCAACCATTACTTGTAAAATGTCATCAATATACTGTGTGTGTAGTACACTAGATACATGGGGCTCATGTGTACCTTCTGCGTTGCTCCTCAAAGGCCGAATTGCTTCAGAAATTGAGAAAACAACAGATAAAGAGGCCAATATTGGAACAGAAATGGAGGTGACAGAGGATCCACAAACCTCAACAGTACACAAATGAGCAAGACATGAAATTTTTTGGCTACAGGATGGAGAATAGGCATCTTCTCCAACAGTAAAAAGAGGAAAATGGCTATTTTTGACAGGGACAACGGAGTCATGGAGAAAACTACAATGGGGAGGCACAAACAATCAACAGGAGGAACAAGAACCTCAACAAATATCAAGGACAGGCTGCCACAACAGGAAACTGGAGCAGAAGAGGTTACTAGAAGAGGACAACCCAGGTTATTTCAGAGATTCCCATCTCCAAGATGGACACAAGGGGTTTAGCAAAGGGGTTAACATTTGTGAAGGGTCCACCAAAACAAAAAATGAGAGAGAAATCAGTTATCAACCTAAGAAACATGGTGGAAAAGATGCAAGGGAGATTTGCATTTTTATAGTTGCCTAGAAGGCAGCTATAGAAAATACAGGCACTCGTTTCAAGGGGGGCTGTTAGAACTCCCTGTCCTTCAAATATTTGCACCCTGCTAAGCTGAAAAAGGATCCTTTGAAAAAGGCAGGACTCCACAACTGGGCAGAGTCAGTGTACAAGAAATTGGAGAAGACTTTTCAAACCGCATCAAGCATAATCTCAGATTAGTCTGATGCCCTGCGTAAGCTGAAGGAGAGGGAAGACATCATCAAAAGAGCAGACAAGGGTGAGACGATAGTGGTTTGGAAAGCAAAGAATTTCAGAAAGTAAGGAATGAGACGTGATGGATGAAACATCTTAAGAACTATAGCAAACCTAGAGGTGATCCTCGAACGTGGGCCAAATAAAAGCAAGAATCTTATTCTTTGCCTTTACAACTACGTGGATAGTTGAAATTCAGATGAAGCCAGGAAAAATAAATATTCCGAGCGGCAGCAAGATAGCCACATTCCTATCATTACACCTCTAGATTTCTTTGCAAAAGGTTTGTAAGACTTACATCTTTGCAGAGACACTTAGTTTTGAGTGGTTGCAAGGTCCTAATAAGGCCAGTTTATATCACAGCAATCATTTCTCCACAGGATACTACAGATTTTCTTAAGAGCATTTCTGAATTTGGCCATTGTAAGGATTCCACCTTTTCTGTGTAAAAGCCTTAAACTAGAGTATACCCCAAGAGGAGCAGCGTGTCGAGTTGCTTTTTTTTTTTTTTTTTTTTTGAGGAACACAAAGGAGAAATTGCACGCAACCTACAAGATGCCAGAGTAAGATGTACCCAGGAAAAGGTGCTAGTGGAACTGCCTGTGCCATGTCCTAGAGGACACACTCCTGTGTTTTGACAATAAGGCTTGCCGCCAAATTAAATGAACAGCGATAGGAGCAAGTGCGTGTTGTAACTGCAGAGGTTATCATGCACACAGCCTTTGAGGAGCAACATGGGAGGTACACCTGAGACCATTCTTTTAATGTACTTCAGATATAATAATAATGACATAGTGGTATCAGGAAAGGTAGAAGATAAAGAATTTTCACACATGGCCTAATGGTGTTCAGATTAGGGTTTTATGATGAAATCTAGCCCAAAGGACATGGTGCCTTCTTTTGATAATTACTTAGCCCAAAAAAGGAACATTTCCTCAATACCTGAATAGAATCCAAAATCGTGTTCTACAAGGATTAAATATCATATACTTCTTGTCATGCAACATCCTGAATGAGAACTCGCTCATTAATTAGGCATCCAAACAGTGGTGAGGGAACTCAAAAAGGTTATGGTCATTCTTCAGGGACAGGGATAACTAAAGGAATTTTCAGGAATCAGTAGAAAAAGTTGAAACTACCAGAGGTAGGATGGTACGTAGTTGATTACCTTATCTGGAATGGTGTTCTCAAACAATGTACTGTATATATGCCAACAGATCAAGAACCTATAGGGAGGCGGTAAACAAGCTTTGGCAATGGATAGTAGCATGGAAACATTCCCCTTTGGACTCGCATCTGATAGCTTGAAAATGGAGAGCCTCCTTGCAGAATATGCTAGTAAGGGCAAGGTTCCCAGCCCACCCATAGATTTCCTCAGTAGCAAAGGAAAGACCAGGAAATGATTATAACAAGGGGTATATTAAACAGCCATTATATTTATATGTTTATTGGGTTATTATTATTGAGAAAGTCAACTAGAGCTGAGGTGACTCAAACCCATGACCGAGAGGATCCCAGCCACTGATGCTTACCATCCTGACTTGGTAAAGTCATGTAACCAGATTTCTACTGAAATTGCAGGAAGTCTGGAGGCCCTTCCCGAAGCCAGTCCCAAGTTTATTATATGATCCCGAGCACCTGGGTGCTGTAAGCATAGTATGTAGTTCATCCACTGTACGCTCCAACAGCAGATACACAGAGAAATCACACTAACGTGATATATATCATTGAGAAAATCAGCTAGAGCTCTCAGATGACTTGAACCCACAACCAAGAAAATATCATGCAGACGATGAGTCACAGTAATGAGGCTGAATATATGACGACCAAACCACACACGAGGAGACGACAACATTTTGGTCTCTCCTGGACCATTATCAAGTTGATTGTGATGGGAGCGAGGGAAGCACGGGCATTAAGGCAGGAGAGAGGCAAGGAGCAGGTAAGAGGCGTTAATTGCTAGAGGAAGGCAAGAGCAAGGTTTAAGGTAAGGAGGGTACAGATGGGATGGGTGTAAGAATGGTAATGTAAAAATAAGAGAGATATATGCCTACCCCTCCCCCCCCTCGTTTTTGTATATCGGGTCACTTTTCTTGGAAAGGCATTTGAGAATGTACTGTGAAAGGGAAGAGTCAACAGCAACAAAATCAGTTGTGTATTGTGCATCTGATAGACAACATACCCAGCATGAACCTTAGTCCTGGCTTTGTTGCTGTTGACTCTTCCCTTTCACAGTACATTCTCAAATGCCTTTCCAAGAAAAGTGACCCGATATACAAAAAAGAGGGGGGGGAGGGGTAGGCATACATCTCTCTTATTCTTACGTTACCATTCTTACACCCATCCCATCTGTACCCTCCTTACCTTAAACCTTGCTCTTGCCTTCCTCTAGCAATTAACGCCTCTTACCTGCTCCTTGCCTCTCTCCTGCCTTAATGCCTGTGCTTCCCTCGCTCCCATCACAATCAACTTGATAATGGTCCAGGAGAGACCAAAATGTTGTCGTCTCCTCGTGTGTGGTTTGGTCGTCATATCTTCAGCCTCATTACTGTGACTCATCGTCTGCATGGGATTCTCTTGGTTGTGGGTTCAAGTCATCTGAGAGCTCTAGCTGATTTTCTCATTGATATATATCACGTTAGTGTGATTTCTCTGTGTATCTGCTGTTGGAGCGTACAGTGGATGAACTACATACTATGCTTACAGCACCCAGGTGCTCGGGGTCATATAAAAAACTTGGGACTGGCTTCGGGAAGGGCCTCCAGACTTCCTGCAATTTCAGTAGAAATCTGGTTACATGACTTTACCAAGTCAGGATGGTAAGCATCAGTGGCTGGGATCCTCTCGGTCATGGGTTCGAGTCACCTCAAGAGCTCCAGTTGATTTTCTCGTTGACATATCACAATGTGATTTCTCTGTGCCAGCTGAAAAAAAAAAATGATCAATTAACATAATATATAACTATATATATATTTAAATACATATAACTCCATAATATATTTTTTTAATTCTGTACAATATTGCTTGAATCTATGGAGCCAGGCGTTCATACACCCATCCATCTGTTCCCTGCTTAGTCATACTTTCATCAATGTTTTCCTCAGCTGTGACCTTCCTGAAGCGAATTCTGTCATGCACACGAGAACTCTGTCCTTGCCAGAATTCTACAACTTCGGGTACAACACGAAAGCCTCCCCTGGAATGAATGTAGAAAATAATTAGTGACTGCTATTTATCTGCTCATCTAAATAAATAATGCATTTTACACTATCTGCAGCACAAAAGACAAATGAAATTCACTTTACATGTCCAAGATCTTCAGTTATCCACATTATCCACGTCTTCCTGATGAAAAGTCAACTTCAGGTTTGCAATCATAATCAAGTGCTACTAAATCTTGCACAAACCCTTAAAACATTAGCTATGGATTTCCAATACTGTACTGTTATCAAATTTACTTCAATTGTTCTGGAACTAATTTTATTACAGCACTGGAATGCTTTAACTTTTGTTTTTAGGGCTTGTACAACATTTAAGAACATAAGAATAAAGGTAACTGCAGAAGGCCTATTGACCCATATGAGGCAGCTCCTCTAGAAAACTATCAACATTTGATTCTGACTGAAGGACACTTTCCTTAAGTTCACTTTTCACAGGAGCAAGACAATAATGATTATGATCTGGAACAAAAAGTGATGGTAAAATAATTTACTATTCCTATTCAATTGTCTTCTCTTTTCAATGTTTCTGCAGTCAAAACACTTCCAATATTATATAATATGTATATATATAAAATTACATATATATATATATATATATATATATATATATATATATATATATATATATATATATATATATATATATATATATATATATATATATATACAGAAGAACCTCGGTTAATGAATTTATTCCGTTCCAGCACTGAGCTTGTCATGTGAAATGCTCATCTTGCGAAACTAATTTTCCCCATTTAAAATAATGGAAATACAATTAATCCGTTCCACCCCCGAAACACATCAATATGGAATTTTATAATGTAATTATAATACTGTACATGTAATTATTATAAATGTTTTTTTGTTTTACCATTTTCAATTGTACTTCACCTTATGAAGAGTCGTTGCTGGCTTGAGGGAGACAATGGTGAGGAGGAGAGGGGGTTACAGTGTGGAAGGAGAATCACCTCTGAGTCAGGTGGGCTCTATCTTCTTAATGAATTTGGTGGGGAGGGTGCAGGATGGGTGGGGGTATGGAGGTAGCAGGGTGGGTACAGGATGGGTGGGGGGAATGGAGGTAGGAGGGTGGGTGCAGGATGGTGGTATGGAGGTAGCAGGGTGGGTGCAGGATGGGGGGATGGAGGTAGCAGGGTGGGTGCAGGATGGTGGTATGGAGGTAGCAGGGTGGGTGCAGGATGGGGGGATGGAGGTAGCAGGGTGGGTGGGGGGATGGAGGTAGCAGGGTGGGTGGGGGGATGGAGGTAGCAGGGTGGGTGGGGGGATGGAGGTAGCAGGGTGGGTGCAGGATGGGGGGATGGAGGTAGCAGGGTGGGTGGGGGGATGGAGGTAGCAGGGTGGGTGCAGGATGGGGGGATGGAGGTAGCAGGGAGGGTGCAGGATGGGGGGGATGGAGGTAGCAGGGTGGATGCAGGATGGGGGGGGGGATGGAGGTAGCAGGGAGGGTGCAGGATGGGGGGGATGGAGGTAGCAGGATGGGGGGGGGATGGAGGTAGCAGGGTGGGTGTGCAGGATGGGGGGATGGAGGTAGCAGGGTGGGTGCGGGATGGGGGGATGGAGGTAGCAGGATGGGGGGGGATGGAGGTAGCAGGATGGGGGGGGGATGGAGGTAGCAGGATGGGTGGGGGATGGAGGTAGCAGGGAGGGTGCAGGATGGGGGGATGGAGGTAGCAGGGAGGGTGCAGGATGGAGGTAGCAGGGTGGATGCAGGATGGGGGGGGATGGAGGTAGCAGGATGGGGGGGGGGGATGGAGGTAGCAGGGTGGGTGGGGGATGGAGGTAGCAGGGTGGGTGCAGGATGGGGGGGGATGGAGGTAGCAGGGAGGGTGCAGGATGGGGGGATGGAGGTAGCAGGGAGGGTGCAGGATGGGGGGGATGGAGGTAGCAGGGTGGATGCAGGATGGGGGGGGATGGAGGTAGCAGGATGGGGGGGGGATGGAGGTAGCAGGGTGGGTGCAGGATGGGGGGGGATGGAGGTAGCAGGGTGGGTGCAGGATGGGGGGGGGATGGAGGTAGCAGGGTGGGTGCAGGATGGGGGGGGGATGGAGGTAGCAGGGTGGGTGCAGGATGGGGGGGGGATGGAGGTAGCAGGATGGGGGGATGAAGGTAGCAGGATGGGGGGGGGGATGGAGGTAGCAGGATGGGTGGGGGATGGAGGTAGCAGGGTGGGTGCAGGATGGGGGGGGGATGGAGGTAGCAGGGTGGGTGCGGGATGGAGGTAGTGGGGAGGGTGACCAGCTCAGCCAACCATCTTACTTCTGCCTGCCCAGCCACCCACTTTGCCACCAGCCCCTCTACCATCCAGTCCTCCTTCACCAACCATCTAGCCCCTCCCCCCTTCACCAACCATCTAGCCCCTCCCCCCTTCACCATCCATCCATCCAGCCCCCCCTTCACCATCCATCCAGCCCTCCCTTCACCATCCATCCAGTCCCCCCCCCCCCTTCACCATCCATCCAGTCCCCCCCCCACCATCCCTCCAGTCCCCTCTGCCATCCAGCCACCCCCTCCACCATCCATCGATCCAGCCCCCTCTCCATTATTCATCCAGCCCTCACCTCCACTATCCATCCATCCAGTCCCTCTCGGTCACCCGACCCCCCTCCACCATCCATTCATCTAATCCCCCCTCCACCTTCCTCTTGACAACACTATCTTTAGCAAGCAGCTTCTTTGGCAACATTGTGGGTTACAAACTGTAGTCACAAAACCACAAAAAAACTAAGAAAAAGCCGAAATAAATGCAGAGGGATGCTTATGCTGCAGGATAAAACAACAATACAGTACTGTCATCAGAGGCATCCAAGAATTTGAGAAAACGCTAGGAAGCCCCACATGGTTTTCTCGTTAACCGAGCTGAAGCTCTTCAATTGAAACAAATTTTCTATGAGTGGTTGTCACCCGAGGTTCCTCTGTGTGTAATATACATTATATATACTGTATATATATTTGCCCACAAATCATAGTGAAATTTACGTGATAAAATATCACTTTGAAGAGCAACAAAAGTGGAGGCATTTACTGTTCAATTCTCTGGCATCACAATAACTAGGTAAGTGATGATTCTGACGAAGGAAGGTGGAAGAAGGAGAGTGCATGCAAGGATAACTTATTTGAAATATAATACATATTTTTTAAAGATAATTTTACCAGAGAAGGAAAATTGACTAACTTTAAATTTCTAATAAAAATTTTTACTAGTAGATGATTGATATACACTACTGTAGTTCTTTATTCTTAGATTTGAACACCAAAATACAGTACATCTAATGCAATTGTGTATCATGAGCAAATAAGTTCTCAAAAAGTGTTTGATGTACAAGTCTATGTGTTCCACAATTTTTTGTGCCATAGTTATGGTTGATAGCTGCAACAGTTACATATTAAAAGTAAAAGAACCTCTGTTTTTTTTACCCCCTATGAAAAGTGTGAAATAATAATTTGTTTTCACAGGAACAAGGAGCACATGAATATATACTTTAGGCTTTTATCGGGGTTTCCCCCCAAAGTTAAACTATTGATCTTCCCCAGGATGCAACCACACAATTGTCTAACTCTCAGGTACCTATTTACTATTTGGTGAACAGAGACAGCAGGTGAGAACCAATGTGCCCAACCATTTCTATCCTGCCCAGGGATTGAACCCTGGATCCTCAATTGAGAGTTGAGGACGTAGCCACTGTACTACCATGACCCAAAAATGTATACACAGTATTTATAAATACTGTATAAAGTATGATTCATGTGCATTTACAATAATCTAACTGATCTTTTACAAGACAGATTTATAGAATGGAAGGCTGTGGAGATGGCATTTCTCCACAAGGTGTTGCTTGATATAGAGGCAATATGGTGTGTAAATACTTTACATTACAAAATATGACTATTAAGAGACAATACAACAGTTGAAACAAAATAGGAAGATCTACAACCATGAAAACATTACAGGGATTAGACAAATTTCAATAACTTTCAACTACAAGCTACTGAACGAATAATCAAATACTAACCAACAATCAGGCTTTGGAATCAATTTGGTTTCATCTTTATATTCCTCTCGCATTTGTTCATCTTTGTCAGTAAGAAAACTGCGGTTGGGTATCACCTGAAAGAATACAAATAGTTAAATAATGCTTTGTAACAGTCCACCTTTGTATTTACCTAACTGACCTAATAGAAAAAAAGTGTGATAATAAAAAATAATTAAATAACTATTGTATATAGAGTACAGTACTGTATATGATGTCTTGCTCAAAATTCTCCAATTCTTCCAAAGTAGAAAGAGCACTTTAAACTGCATATGTACATAAGTAACAAAAGTGAACTACAGTACATGCAACTGACTTGTAAGATATCTGAATAACCAAATCAAGTTAGAGGGAAAAAATAAAAATAGGCAAAATCTGAAAAGCTGAAGAGTACCAAAAGCTTTAACATGAGGAAGGCCAACAAAACAGAAAAGTGGTGCTTTAGTGTTAATGTGACTTAAAAAGAGCTAGTAAAAAGCATAATCTTTCCATTGGTCATATATAAAATGCAAAAATATATCACTTTTACATGTACTGAGATAATGAACATATCTTACTGACTTATACTAAGTAAACTAGAAGTGAACCTTATTTATGGACAAACCTCACACTACACAAACACAAAATATCTTTATGCATTACATGATAATATGTATGCGAGGTTAACCCATAACATGGAGTCAAACATATCTTTTCAGAAACAGAGGGAAGGTAATTATCAAGAGAAAGCACTAAACCTGCATAACTTTATAGCACTTGGGAGGGATAAGAAGACAAGGAGCTGGGATAAGAAAGATAACAGAGGGAATGAACAGTGGCCAACCACTTGAACCTTAAAGGATTGAAAGCTGACCTGCCAGAAGCAAGACCTGTTGTAGTGACCTGTTGAAGTGCAATGGGCATTAACTGAAACTCTGTATTGTATATAGCTACATCAGAAGAAATAACATTAGTAAAAATAAGAAGGGCACCTTTGATACAGCAAAAGGGCATTACATAGTTTATATGAATACTGGTTTATATGAATACTGTATATAATATAAACATAGCTTAACCCTTCCAGGGCACAATTCACATGTACATATAATTTTGCCCTAACTAATTGGAAGGTGCATATAATATATATGTATGTTTTAGAGTATTGTGCAAGATTTAAAAAGTCCTGCGACTACACAGTCCATATTAGCTTTCTCAGGGCTCCAGTAAACAGACTATTTTTGTTTTTAAATTGTAGATACTATTCTTAGGGTGTGAAGGCCTCAGTACGAGTCAGCTATCAGGTCTCATGCATACAGCACGAGCTAACAGCACTGCTGTTCAGCCTGTAACCACAGGATTGCATCAAAATGACAAAAATATATATCTAACTGCTATTATTTTGTGATGATAGTATTATGGAAGAGCCTGACTGTGATAAAGTCTGTTTACAATGTTCACATTTAAGTGAACACAATGCTGTTCATGATGTTCACAGCACTAGGCAGGCAGCCACAGCACTCTGCCATTATTTGGTCTAAGTATCTTGCAATGACTGATCATGATCTTTTACAAAATAAACTTGTGGAAAATTACTCCTTTACAGAATTTAGTGACCAGAATTCTGATAATAGCAGCACTGTGGTGAGAATTCGCAATGTGCATAGTATGGTGAGAGGAGGAATCTTACCGAGTGAGCAAGATCTTACTGACTGCCGTGTGGAGGCACTGTGCTGTTTGGACTCGCCAGAACACCTTAATGGTTCTTGTGGTGCACAAAAATGTACATAGTTATATAAAACATGTATACTATAGTGCAATAACAGCAATTATTGTATTCACATGTTAAAGAACTCTTGGATATGTGAGTAAAAGTGAGCAATGAGTAACCCAGGGAATGGTCTTAAACAGTTCTGAAGTCAGTGTATGGACTGGTTAAGGTCAAGAGTGGATTCAGAATGTGGTCAAGAGGCAAGCTGGTAAGTGTAGCTAGGCAATGAGACCCTATGGGTCTCACCGGTGAGTATGTGGGTCTGCAGGCTGCTCCTAGCAACAGCCTGGTGGACCAAACTCTCACACAAGTCAAGCCTGGCCTCAGGCCAGGCTTAGGGAGTAGAAGAACTCCCAGAACCCCATCAAGCTATGAGAGAAATTTGTTGTGTGGAAATGAGGATATTTATGTAGATTCCTGATAGTCTATTTAATGTAATACTAAAATTTATTTGAGAATGTTACCTTTCTTTGTACTTCCTACATGTGTAATAAACCAAACAGTATATCACATGATACCGGAAAGTATTGATATATACTGAATATTAACCCTGATGTATACATGAACATAACACACAAATGAATAATAATATTATCATTATTTCTAATCACAAGATCCAAACAAGAATGAATTCTCCCCCTTTCACGGAACATTCAATTTAAGGAAGAAGAGATGCGCTATGGATTAGGAAGATACTTTCACCGACATGTTATTCTAGTACAGCATCCTAAAGAGTAAATAAGTAAGGATCGGACATAAATGAGAATAATTAACAAGGGGAGTGAGAAAAGGAGGGAAAAGGCTATTTCAGTGATGCTAGATTTGATATTCAACACGAAAGAAGAGCTATTTGACATTCGGTACCTTCCTCCCCTAAGAGTGACCACGTCCATCTGGAAATAAAATATGCAATGCTTTATAATCTAGAAGAGAACTAGGACACAGCACTTGAAAAACTTCATTTCAAGAAAGGACAATACGGAGAACTTTGCAAGTTCTTTAATTAATTTAATTGGTAAAACCTGTTGTTGGGTAAGGAAGTAACCTGGTTCTTCTTTTTCTTTATCATTATTCACTAGTATAGACACAAACAATTTGTCCAGAGCATACAGCATAGGTCCTACTCATATAAACAAACTGCAAAGGGTTTATCACCTAGCTTCATACAACACTTTGCACAGTCAAGACCAATCTGCTTGCAAGACCTTGTAAATCACCTATGTCAGACCAATCCTGGAGTATGCAGCTCCAGCCTGGAGTCCATACCTAGTTAAACACAAGACAAAGAGAATATTCAGAGGTATGCCACCAGACTAGTCCCAGAACCAAGAGGTATGAGCTAGGAGGAAAGGCTACAGGAGTTAAACCTCATGTCCCTGGAAGACAAAAGTAAGGGGAGACAGATCACCCCCTACAAAATTTTCAAGGGAATTGACAGGGTGAACAAAGACAAACTATTTAGCATGGGTTGAACACGAACAAGGGGACACAGGTGGAAACTGAGTACCCAAATGAGCCACAGGGATGTTAGAAAGAATATTGTCAGTGTCAGAGTAGTTAACAAATGGAATGCATTAGGTAGTGATGTGGTGGAGGCTGACTCCATACACAGTTTCAAATGTAGATTTGATACAGCCTAGTAGGCTCAAGAATCTGTACACCAGTTGATTGACAGCTGAGAGGTGGAACCAAAGAACTAAAGCTCAACCCCTGCAAGCATAACTAGATGAGTACTGCTTTAATTTGTAAACATTACAGGCCTGATCTCTGGAGTCTCAGATTCCCTTGTCAGGATAAACAAAGCACATGGGCTTACACCATCCCAAAAGTCCTGAAAAAACATGATTTCAAGGATACTATATTGACAAAGGTAAAACTTACTTGACTTTGTGGACTAAGACATGCTGCAATCTGGCTGCCGTGTGGGCGAGTATGAAAATATTCAGTAGATTCTTCTTCACTCAATTTTTCCACGCGTCCTTCTATACGTACCTGGGTTAATTCCAACAATTACGTTAAAATATTAACAATAACAGTCGTAATGTTCTGTAACAATAAGTCATAATGTTCTGTGTAAATAACAGTCATAACGTTGTGGGGTGCCTAGCCCATTCTCCTAAAGTAATAGCACAGCAGAACCTCGATTCAATAAACCTGATTTCGGCAAATCTCCGGTTACAATACACTATCCAACCCTCATTTACTCACCCAATTTGACAAACAAAAACTCGGTGAAATGGAGATGTACAAATTTGCTTAGGATGTTGGACCAGTGTTCACAGATTGGTTAAAAGTTGCCTAGCAAATAATAGGTTAAAATTAACAATTCCCTCAGTGAAATCAGCCCTATAGAACATGGAAAATATAAGGGGATGAATGGGAACTCTTAATATGGCTCCAATCACATTATTAATGACTGTAACAGATGGATGCAACATTTGAAGAGGTGGGGCCTTGAGAAAGCCATTAAGCTTATTTAAAACCAAACTCTATTGTTAATTTTCATTTCCAGCTATTTTTGTTCACAAAAATATGGACCCATCTTCCTATGAATATGAGGTTTTGAGGCTGGGGCATGGGAAATATAATTATAATAATTCATTTTGATGGAGTCAGGCAGCCTGTTTATATACTGTGTATGCATTAGGCTTACATCGAGGTCCTCCCACACCCAAAGGTCGAAGTATTGACCCTTCCCCAGGATGCAACCCCACAATGAGCTGACTCCTCAGTACCTATTTACTGCTAGGTATTAGGTGAAAAAAACATGCCCATTTCTGTCTCGCTTGGGATTTAAATCAGAATTCATAATTGTGAGTCAAGAACGAACCAAATGGTTCACTTGGTAGTTGTCCTTCATATGACAGGTTGAAATTAAAATTTTGGTCAGGGAAATTAGCCAATAGAGCATGGGAAATATTAGGGGTATAAATAGAAGCTCTCTTAATATGACTCAATTCACAATTTTAATGATTTTTCATAGATGGAAGCATCATTTGAAAAAAACGGCTGAATATATTTATATATAAAAAAAACAAGCTTCTTATCTTGAGGTTATCTTGAGATGATTTCGGGGCTTTAGTGTCCCCACGGCCCGGTCCTCGACCAGGCCTCCACCCCCAGGAAGCAGCCCGTGACAGCTGGCTAACACCCAGGTACCTATTTTACTGCTAGGTAACAGGGGCATAGGGTGAAAGAAACTCTGCCCATTGTTTCTCGCCGGCGCCCGGGATCGAACCCGGGACCACAGGATCACAAGTCCAGCTTGGTTTCATATAGTTTGCTGAATCTGGGTTGTGCTGTACAGTACTTGTAACTATTTGGTCAAACACAAACATGAACAAACCCACAGGAGCCATGACGAGTGTTTAAACCCATGCGCTGAGTGTTCCCAGGTTCGAACCCTCACCACGGCTCCTGTGGATTTGTTCACCGATACATTACGTTAATGTGATCTCTCCTTGTATACAGGCATGGACTCCTGGACATCAAAAAGTTAACATTTTGTATTATTGAATTAGCTCAAGCGACACCAAAAATTAGAAATATAATTAACAGAATAAAACCTAACCTGCCCAAACAATCTTAGGTCTAATAAACACTATCTTAGGCCAAATAGAGTTCTCATGTGGTATACTAATCCTAGGAATGGTCTTTTTTTTTTCCATGCCCTCTAATGGAAACAACAGTTGATCAGCGAAGTTGCAGAATCTGTGGTGAGAGTGACGGACACCGCCTTGACCACTATCTACGTGAATGTGAACACCTGAGAGATATCAGAAATATGTGTAGAATAATAAACCCCACATTGTTTGAGTTAGGAAAACACTATTTGTCAAATATTGATGCTGTTCTTAAAAGATTTCCCCATTTTGCACCCGCAAGATAACGTAAGCTTTCAAGGGTTGATAGATGTTAATCTTCTTGTTTGAGGAACTGTTCACTTGAGACAGTTAAGCAAGTCCCAGCTGTGTCTGGGTACAAGTGACAGGATGAACAACCCAGCGGGTTTTCTTCCTATTGGGGAGTGTTGTACATGCTGCTATGGCGGTGTGTCCACTCACAAGATGAGTGGCGCTGCCCAATAAACTCGCCCCTCGGGGCAAAATTTAAAAAAAAAAATTTACAAAATCAGTAGTACAGAAGTGTGAACCTTGTTGGTTGCAACACTATTTTTAATGAACAAATAGTGTAGTGTAGTGTAGTGTAACACCATTTTTAAACTGTACATAATCATACAAAGTGTGATATCATCAAAAGAGTTATCAATTAACTAGCAACTGAAACAATTCAAAAAGAGCAACAGAGATTTAACAGATTGCAATTAAACCCATGGCTAGGCAACAGAGGCAGGCATTCCCATCCCGCTCTACAGTATATCTCTATACCTGTGAAGATCTCTGTATAAACATCCCCTACCTCTACATATCTAAACATCCCCATCCCCTACCATAATATAACTATATCACCATCCCTCTATGTATCTTTGCATTTCCATCCCCTCTACATTATCTCCATAACTCTTCCTCAGTGTATACAGTACTTACATCCCCCATCACCCTTACATAGGGATACAGTATATGCCTATATCCCCAATTCCTATATATTAGCATATTCATACATCGACACCCTCTACCTCAGTATACTTCCCAAGACAATTTTATGAAATGCTCTTAAAAACCAACCTGCCAGGTATATCCACTTCACTTTAAAAACTCTCGTACAATAGTTTACTTTCTGGCCACATTATATTTACCTTCCAAAACACAATAGTGAATGTTAAAACTTACAACACTAACTAGTGCAGTCCCATAAAAACAGTATTTAACTGCAATACTTTCAAAATAAAACTCGGTAAATATTTACAGATTTACGTTACCCATATAACTAAAGTAAATACACCTGATGAACTCCAGTAACTTACTTGTCTCATGAGTTGTGCCCAGTAAAAGCAAAGATGAGCTTGTGGATTTTCTGCCTGGAAAAAAACAAAAAAAAATTAACAACTCTTGTTAAACAGAAGCTTATGCAGTGATGAAGAACTTCAAGTACAAACTTTAAAAAACTCCATGGAATTTGCAATAAGTGTCATATATTGAAACTAAGCACCTAATACAGTTTTGAAGCTTAAATTATATACAAGTTAAAAAATCCCTTAAATTCAATACGTCGTATACATTACACAGCATCACGGGATAAACAAGCACCAACACTAGAAATTATCCAAAGCAGGATAAGCTGTCAATCGACTTGAGAATGGTCCAGGACGGACCGAAACGTCGTCGTCCCTTCACCTTCTAGTGTGTGGTCTGGTCAACATACTTTAGCCACGTTATTGTGACTCATCGCCTGCATATCCAAAGCAACACTCCTCTGGTTTATAAGACCAAGTGTACAGAGGAACCTCAAATTGGTGACTCTCCAGTTGGAACACTTTTTCCATGCCAGATTGATTCATCCAATTCCAAGAACAAGAGTTAACTGAAGCTGCGGATGTGCAGATTTCCTTAAAATGTTGGGACAGTTCACAGACAGGTGGAAAAGTTGCCCCATCATATTATAGGTTAAAATTAAAAGGCTTCCTTAGTGAAATCAGCCCACAGAGCATAGGAAATATGAGGATATGAATGGTAACTCTCTAATTAGGGGCTCCAATCATCTTTTTAATGATTTTCAAAGATGGTCTTAAGATTAGAAGAGAGTTGCAGTCTTGGGAAAGCCACTGGGCATATTTAAAACAAAATTCTATGGTTTGTTTTTATTTCTAGTTGCAGAGGTTTTCATTCATGAAAATATGGGCCCCTTCTTCCTTTAAAAATGAGATTTCAAGACTAGGGTGTGGGAAATATGCTTGATGTGGTTAAATCTCTCTACAAATAGGCTCTTTTGATAGCTGTCCTTCATATGACAGGTTGAAATTAAAAATTTTGCTCAGTGAAATCAGCTCATAGAGCATGGGAAATATTTGGGTATGAATGGTAACTGTTAATATGGCTCCAATCATGTTTTAATGATTTTCAAAGTTGGATGCAACATTAGAAGAAAGAACTGGGGTCTTCGGAAAGCCACTGGACATATTTCAAACAAAATTCTATGATTCGTTTTCATTGAGAGATTCCCAGTTTTCCTTCACAAATATGGGCCTTCTGGAGGCATCTCCATTTGCAACAAATCCCTCATTGCAACGAACTGAAGTTAGTGTCATGTAGTTCATTGAATTGAAGTTGCATTGTACACTGATCAACGTGAATCATCATGTACAGTTCATCACAAAGAGTCACTCATTAATGCCTACTCACTCCTTGACACTGGGAAATGGGGTAATGATAATGTATGTAAATTTCTATAATATATGACACTCAATCTCAAGTTATTTTCATAACACTACTGTGCCTGATAATGTAAAGGCTTACTCTTCCCTGTAGAATGAACTTAATATTATAAAATAAAACATAATAACTATGACCACGGGAATATATATATGTTAGGGGCTAATTATGATCTCTGAAAACAAAAATACTAAATGCCCATATGCTAAGATTCTCTCTTTAAGGAATGAGTCACTGCCAAGGCAAAATTGCACACACAAGAGTGCATAATGTTAAAAAATGTAATACAGTACAGTATTTGAAATTGCTTTTTTGTGCAACACAATATGGATGCAGCAAATACACAGGCTATCTTTTTTTTTGTTACAACTGATTACTGTATAATGATCACACTGCTAACAACAAACATCTGTTGCATCTCATTTCTGATGTCCCGAGTTCCAGCAGAGCACACAATCCACTTTATATGAATAAACCTTGAAGGACATTTCCAAGGTGATCCAGAATATCAAATCCTCCATAATTCAGCTTGATTCGGTCTACAAGAGCAGTAAGATCTAGCCTTAGGGAGCAACCAACTGATATAGTGAAGACAATTCTAACTGTACCATACCTTAAGTCATGACAGAACAAGAGTTAACTTACCAGCTCTTGCCCTTTCCTGCTATTGTAATTAGTAAAAAAATGAAATCCATCTTTCCCATAGCACTTTAAGAGTACCATACGAGCTGAAGGTTTCCCAGATCTGAAAATGTTCAATTACACTATAAAACAATGTAAAATATAGGTGGAGTAATATGAATGCCTGATTATCAGCCAAATTTGATAAAAATATGGAATACAGAAATATATTTTATATACAAATTTGAGTCAATTAAAACTTTAAAGCAGCATATTCAGTCAAGTACATGCTGCTTTAAAGTTTAACTAACTAATATGGATTAACTGTGACTGAATACCATTAGCTGCATCCGGAAATTTGTTTGAATTAGACTCATAACTTCCAAATCAACATTACATTGTAATGTTGGATGGATGAAGAAAAGGACCGTGGAGTCAGGATCCATCAAATCACAAAAACTTGCACAACAAGTGGAAGTTGCCGTTAAAAAAAAAATAAAAACTCTAGGATTAGTCAAATGTTGGCTTCAAGGAAAAGACGATATTATCGGCAACTGTATAAAATCTCTCTCTTGCTCCCCCACTTGGATGTCCAAAGCAGATCCTCTACTATAACCATGAAAATTTGACACATAATATGCACAATGTGTTATTGCTAACATATATTTATAAAAGCAATATTTGTGACAAAGCAAAAATGGGATGCAAAGTTAAATGCACTGAAGGTTCAAGAACAAAATCATTCCATTTGAGAGAGAATTCATTGCAGTATATTGAGCACAAACGTACAAAACAGGCAGGACCACTGCAAATTAGGCAGGAGGACCAACAAATAGAAATGAGATCATTTGTTATTTAAAATTCAGAATCCTCTAACAACTCCTAGGAAATTACAGTCAGATGGTACTAATTTCAAATCTCATCTCCTGTTTGTTTGAGGATTTCAGTCCAATAAATGATTTGTCAAGAAAATGTAGCAAGTATATTATGTCAATAATATACTGTACTTGCTCCATATCCTCATTAACTTATGTGCAGATAATGAGATGGGTATGTTAATTCTATTTAGTTCACTAATTATAAATCCATACCTCTTACCTAATTATGGTTAATACTTCTTCCTAACCTACGAGAGGATGGTCAGGTGAGGTGTGGACCAATTATACAAGCAATCGATAGTGAACAATCATCACTTCAGGGGAACTGGGATAAAGAAACCAATCCTCTTGTAACACCCGGCCATCTCACCCTAGACCTGCCAAATGTGGCCAGCTCGCCGACAGCTTGCCACAGTCGGCCCTGCTGACTCCTGTGGCACTGAACTGTGAGCGACATGTGTACCCCCATCAATTCACCGGTCTGACCAGCTCTAGGGTCTTTGATTGGATTGGCACATCCACGAACCCAATCCCCAGATCTAAAGTATCAACTATTGATACGGATAATGGCTCCAAAGAGCCTTCACCTATGGGATCACTATAGCCCATGCTACTTTGAACTTTTTGGTCCAAGTAGCTGAATCTAAAAACAACAATAATAATCATCAGTCTAATTTCAAGTGGTTTAGTAGAGACGCTTGAGAAATACCACACAACTTCAACATTAACCAATGACAATGTAACACTTGGTGTGTCCAGTTCATACCCTCACAAGATGCTTCAGCTTCGACACAGAGCAAACAGCCAGGCTCCAGCTGCATTGAGCTTCCACGCACTCGTCCCGCATCGAGCTCCTCGACTCCGCCCGCATTCAGAGCGCCACACTCTACAACTCTCACCCTGCATCCGAGCTCTTTACCCCTGGCCTCACTCAGCTCTCTTCCCTGCTCCAGGTTTCGTCTCAACTCCTACGACACTTCACTACACTGCCAACAAACCAACTGATGTAACTGAGACTACTAAATACTGTATAAAAAAAACACTAAACTCTCATGTGTCTAACCAACTAAACATGCACACGTAATTATACATTACAAAAATAAAGGGAGATTTATAAGCAGAAAGTTCATCTCTTTTTAACCGCTGGCATGACAGTTTTGCAACGAGATGGTAATAAAAAATTTCTACGGAGAGACTTTGATATTAACAACATTCAAGCCTGACTCTTTATGGATATTAATTATCTCTTATGAGCTTTATAATTTCTACTTACTTTGTGGCTGTAGCTAAACACATAGCATTTGATTCTACTATGCTTAGGTTCTGGCATGCTTCATTAAACCAGGCAGCAAATTGTCCAATTGGCTCTTGAGACACCAAATCATCCTCGGTAAATGCTTCGGTGCTTTCTTTATATGGTTTCCGCATGCCTGAAAATGGGACATCAAATAAACATAAAGAAAAAGATGAGATATTCTGACAGCACCTTATCTTGGAACTATTGAACTTAATTACAATTATTGATAGTTTGTCTGCATATATTAGGTAAACACTGTGACCTATTCGCAATTCATACATTGTTGAGTCTCCATATTCTGCTCTTTGGCAGGCTCAACGATGCGCTTTGGCCTGCTCTGGGGAACGACGCCCGCCACTACCCCCCGAATGAGAAGGCAAACCGGGAGTCCCCCTAATATTTCTCCAGTAGGAGGGAGGACCGAGGTCCTCGCTCCTATTAATCTTCCCCAGAGCAACCCCACAACTGACAAATTCCCAGGTACCAATTTACTGCTAGGCAAATGCACACATTAGGTGACGGGAAATGTGTCCAACCATTCCTGTCTCGCCTGAGTTTAAAACCTGGGATTCCCAACTGTGAGTCGAGAGTGAACCCAACTGTACTACCGAGACCCAACTACTGTGGAGTTGCATTCGGTGGAAGGTAAGTAGTTTCTAGTCAGTAGTAGTAGTCAGTAGTTTAAGCTTCTAAAGTACATATATGCATAGTCTTCTTGTCCTGATAATGGGAATTATTATGAAATATTATTATGTTTAGCTGAATAGAAGTCATGTTATACACAAGACAATTTGCCAACAAATTTTAAACCCTACCCAGCCCAGCCCAACCCAACCCAACAGATGTGTACGTCTGATACCATACCACTTGTGAAGGAGGAAATGTACATGTTTATCTCTCAGAATGTTTGGTAACAGGTTTAATGTTTGTGATGTGTGTCTATGTATGTACCAACACGTTGTACTGAATGGGGTGAGAATAGCTTGAGCTACCTCATCCCTTTGTGTGTATTTTACCTCAATAAACTTATTTCAATTTCAATTTCAATTTCAAACCCAACAGAGCCTAACAGAATAAGCTAATACTGCCTAACGTAATGGCATGTACAGTTTCGACAATTAGAAACCAAGTTTCGTCTAAATATCTTGTGTGTGCGATTTGACCGAATCCCGTTTAGCTACGTAGGAGTAAAACCGTGTCTACACTAGTTCTTCAAAGATTTCACGTAGCTCAGTGGTCTATGCCTTGAGCTCACAGTTTAGGGTCCAGGGTTCAAGCCCTGGGGGGGGGGGGGCACAAACAGTTGGGCACCTTTCTTTTCACCTGATGCCTCGGTTCACCTAGGAATAAATAAGCACCCAGGGGTTAAGGAACAAGGTCAACTAAATCTACAACAACAACAATCAATGGGAGGTTACACCCCCTTAGAGGTCACCAGTTGACCTTAAAATGGGGGCGGGGCGGTCAGTGATCAATGGCCCCAGTACAAGGCTTCCTGTCCCGGACTCTTTGGCTTCAAATAACGTCATGCCTTACCTCCGATGTCCACGGACATGTTCTTGGCGTCCTTGTCTTCCCTGTAAAGCGCCATTCTGCTGCCAAGAAGAACACGTCTGCTGGAACAAGAACGCAGAACTCTCAATAACATCTCCGGGCCAGCTGACCGGACCCACAAGGCGCAACCAGACTCTCCAATAACGCGCGACTATCTTAAGGGAGCCGCTATATATATATTTATATAACTCCCATGAACAAAATGGTATGGAATCATATATGACAACGTTAAATAACTTATATGCTTTATGTTATTATCAGAAGAATATAAATATCAGGTTTTTGTGCTTTAATGAGAAATGTGTAATGTTTTCTTGACTGCGCGTTCTATGTGGCAATATTGGAACATGAACACAGGTATAGTGCTATATATTTTTGGCCTATATAGACTTGTAAATATGTATGTATATATATATATATAGGTTGTGTTCACTTAAAATAATTTAAAACCATTTTTGTATATGTGTTGTAGACTATATATAAAACAAAAAGATTCATTAACATTACGTATGTTACTACTACTCGTCTCAGACTCTTAGTTATAATATAGTTATATAATATGTTATAATAATATAATATAGTTATAATATCCTGCCCGAAACGCTGCGCGTACTAGTGGCTTTACAAGAATGTAATTAATATACTATGAATCCTCACAATCCCAATGTACCTTCTTGTATATATATAAATAAATATTAGTAGTATCTAAGTATACTATAGTATCTAAGTTATAAGTATCTACGGAAGTCTGCATTACCTTCTGATGTAGAGAGAGCTGGTCAAGTGTTGTTCAGTAGGAGCACTCAACTGTTGCCATCATGATGACTAGATTATGGGTGACCTTTGACCCTGCGCACGCATCATCATTTGCGAGATCATGCACAGTGCCAGAATTAGGCTGCCTTGTCGATAGACTAATGGTAGATTGCTGCAGGTAATAATTCCCCTCAATGATAATAATAATACATTTTAATTAAACCAATATACAGCAGATTATGGCACAGTGGTTACAAACTATGTATATTTAGTAAGGCCATTAATACGCAAAGCATAACTTAAGATAATTATGTTAGGGCTTATAATCATATATGGTATAGGGTCCGTTTCTATTACCTAACGCACCTGTTCACCTAGCAGTAAATAGGTACCCAGGAGTTGTTTTCGCTAAAGAAACAGCCTGCATCCAATCGACCATAAATTATGCCCGAGGGCAACATCCGTGTCGTTGCAAACTCTCTCCCCAGTAATCCTCTCATAATGCACATTCCGTCATGACTCCGTCACAGCATCTTCCACACATCAAATAACCCCAAAAATTATTCCTAGAGTCCCCCCTGTAATTCCACACAGAAAACGCGCACTACAGCAAACCCCAGACTAAACAAAACTCAACAAGCGCCCCACCAACCCCTCCCTGTAACAAGTCTATAAGTCTCTCAAACCATAGAAACCATACAGAATACCCCCCCCCTCCCCAAGACTTATTTTTTTACATCTCCCGTCACGCAGGGTGCAGTCGCACCTCCACAGATCTCCAGTATCATCTATTGATACTGGTAATGGCTCAAAAAGGGCCACCACTTACGGGCTATTCATGCCCGTGCCACCTTTTGGGTGGCTTAATCTTTATCAATCATCAATCAATCCCCCCAGACTCTGATATCCTAAGCATGCCTCTAAATCAGGCACCATTTATGCTATACCTCCCCTGCCAACCACACAAGACCTACCATGAATCAAGAGAGATCAAACACTCCTGAAAATGTACACTACCTTCCTCAGTTCCCAAGTACTGAGAGTTGAACTTAGCTGACACATGGATGCACCAAAATCGACGACACACCTCACCTGACATCATTCACCTTGACAACCATAGCTCTGAAACAGAAATTCAAACTCTTGTTAACTAGAACCAAAGCCAAGATGGTTTTCATGGACACTTGTTGTAGAGCCCCCTGGTACAGCTGGCATCATCCAAACACTCATCAGACAATTGCCAAACACTATAATTACTGCTCTCACTAACTTGTACCTTTCTCACCTCTGGTTACTGCCCTCTTCCTTTCAAATCACCCACAGATATCCTTACACTGACCCCAAAACCTAGACCCATAAGCTTACCTGTAACACTTTATAACGTTTTTGAACAACTATATTGCCACCAGACTCAAGACACCACTTCAAGGATAAGGAACCACTTACTTTGGATACAACCCTCAGCGATCCACACAGGAAGCTCTCAACATCAAGACTAACTACATTAACATTAATCATCAGGGGCAAACCACAGCATTCATCACTGAAGATGCAGAAAAAGTATTTGACACAGTTTGGCACCACGTACTAAAATTCAAACTGCACTAACTTTGAACGTCCACCCATGACAAACTTCTGTGCAAATACTTAAATAACAGAACTATGAAAATCAAATTCCTGACCAAATACACAGCATATCACTGACCATATTCTATTCTGACAATGTCACCCACCTTACCACTACCAACTCGACACCCATTCACGAAAAACTCAAGAGGAAATTGACAGCGACATCCTGGGAATATGACTAGCACATTTAAACTATATAAAAAAAAAATACAAAATCACTTGCTACTTCTGCAAATACATATGCACTATACTAGTCAAACTATATTTATTCTCCAATTCCTACTCTCATTCCTGTCTTGCTTTCAACCAGTTCTGGGCATAGCACTAGATCATGGACCCTTCCCCCCGTAAGCAAAAAGCACAAGATATGCTTTTTCACCCATGGAACCACCCAACCTGTAATAGCTGTACAGGCCAAAATACTGCTGCAATTCAAAATCCAATTCTTATATCATCCAGACCAACGAGGGCACCTTTGATGAACCAACCGCCGGCGTCCTATCCTCACTGAGGTCACGAGACAGTGGCCCTCTGATAAAATCTTGTAACCTATTATATTCTTAACCTTTTTGTCAAGGTATTTTCATTTTGGCTCATCCTTCCTTTGGGGAACAAATTTTACTACTCTGTCCGGTTGTGATAGCAAAATCACATATTTCCATGTTTATTTTTTTAACAGTTCCAAAGTAACTCGATACCAGGAACAAGTGTCAGAGTATTACAAATACAACACGACATTATTTGTATTAGGGTTAGTTGTCTTAATTTTCAAGATAACCATGTTCTTCGCATATACAGTACCGCATACAATTAAAAAGTTAAGTTTTGTCTATTTTCTAATAGAAAATACAGTTCAAGTAACTCAAAGTATACCAGGAAATGTTAAAATACAAATTAGAAAATGTTAAATTATACCCAACATGATTTTCTCATCTTTTAATTTTCTGTAATAAAATGCAATGTTTTCATGTTTACCATTAATTACAGTACAGCACAGTACTCTTAATGGTCCACCTTACTGAGCGACAGTTTCTCTATACTGTACTGACACCACACTACTGTAGCGTCTAGGCACCAACTCTTGTACCGAGGGGAAGATTTTTGGACGAACATTTCACAAATGTTGAAACATTTTTAATGCATTCTGTAAAACTGGCATACAGCAGTAAATAACTTTCACCATTTGACTAAACTATGCCCATTGGAGTAACAGGAATAAACAAAGGCATTTTCTGCTATAACACACTTTTTCCCCTTGCAGTCGTAATTACAATCTTCCAAAAAGTAATTCTAATCCATAATGCATTTAAAAAACATTTAAATAAACAGACTTTTCATGCAATCACACATTTCATGAAAGTGAATATTTTAACTGCTTTAAAAGCAATCAATTATTAATGAAATGTAAAATATAAAAATAACAGGATCAATAATAATGAAGGTTAAACCATTTACTTTCAATAGAAATGTTAAAAAATATTGCAATGTTTAAACTTTCTATACTCCCAATTCATTCAATTAGAATACTGTAGCAATGAAAGTCATCAAAATCTACAATAAAGTTTTATTCACATGTATCAATAAGGTCTTGACATTCTCTCATATAAACGGGCTTTATACAGGTTAGACGAGATGCGGCTATCAAATTAAGCAACTGGATCAATCTTGGGTTCTGTAAAATAAGAGAAACAAAATCAGTGTGTTGTTTCATAATATACTTTCAATGAAAATTAGAGGTGATTAATGGATTATCACCTAGCATCACAACAAAAGGGTCATGGGTAATCTCTACGACTACTGTACTGTATTGCCAGAATAGCAGTACAGGTAGTCGTAGGACACAGCTAACAGATGCAGTCAGTTGTTGTATTTCAAAACTTGACCAGTCCAGCAACGTGGAGGCCTGGTCGAGGATGGGCCCACGGGAATGCTAAGTACCGAAATCATCGCATGGTAGGGAAGGTACGTGGAAAAGACACACACACACCAGCCTAGCCACCAGATTAATACTCGAACCGAGGGGCATGAGCTACGAGGAGATACTATGGGAATTAAACCTCACGTCACTGGGAGACAGAGTTAGAGGGCAAATGATCACCACATACAAGATTCTCTGAAGAATTGATAGGGTAGATAAAGACAGACTATTTAACCCAAGGGGCACATGCACTAGGGGACACAGGTGGAAATTTAGTGCCAAAATGAGCCATAGAAACATTAGAAAGAACTTTTTCAGTGTCAGAGTAGTAGACAAATGGAATGCATTAGGAAGTGATGTGGTGGAGGCTGACTCCATACACAGCTTCAAGTGTAGATATGATAGAGCCCAGTAGGCTCAGGAACCTGTAAATTAGTGGACTGACAGTTGAGAGACGGGACCAAAGAGCCAGAGCTCAACCCCCGCAACCACAACTAGATAAATACACATATATACACATGTGCTAGTACTGCCTTAGCATGGACATTTTTTGGCAGATTTCTGCATGGGTTGAAAGCCCCTGGCTGGCTCACCAAGTGCTATGGACACCATACGCATTATACCAGTATCGTTATATCTGTTGCTGTAACTAACAGGTTGCAGTCAATTATTTATACAAGTGGGTAAAAATTGCTGGGGTGGATTATAGGCACACACTGTATGGGAGGGTATGGTAATAATGGATGTGGCTGGGGGTTAGTTTGAGAGTGGAGGGGGGTGGTTAAAGTGGGTATATATATAGGTCAAGATAGTGTGCTACATAGCAGTAATGAATTGATGCTTTCTCCTCATAGTTCTCTTCACCCTTTAAGATCCCTCCCTTATGATTTTAAATAGTCTACTGAAAAGTATTACATTTTACTATTAAAAAAAATATAAAAAATTGGCTTAAATTTTTTGATCAGGATGATGGGATCAAATTAGCTTACTAGGTTAAACATTTTCTAATGTACAGTTAATGTGATTTCACCGTGTTTTAAATTGCTTTTTTGGGTTATTACACTATATAATAACAAAAGAAAGCTATATTTTAGTTCAGAAATTTGTTTTATTATAAACTAAGAGGTTAAGATTTTACATCTACTATAAGACTTCATAAAGATACAGGATAGTATCACAAAAAAAAAAAAAAAAATATATCAGTTGCTATTAGGCTACAAAGCACAATTTCAATAGCAGCCATACTTTTTGTCAAACACTTGGGTATACAAATGAACAAATCCACACGGGCCGTGATGAGGGTTCGATCCTATGCCCGGGATGATCCCAAACAAGACAGTCAACTTGGGTATACATTGTAAGTATACAAGTCAAAGCATTGAAAGATTCAAAATACAGAATAGAAATCTCAAGGAGAGAAGTGGGGGAGGGGGAAAGAGGGAAATTCCATAGTAGGGATTTTTATCTAATTCTTTAAAAAATAATAATAATAAAAAAAACATTTAAGAAGCCAACCTTCAAACTTGAAGGTAGGGAATTTTGTCATGTCCACTCCCTGACCGCCACCATAGTGACGAGCTACTTTATCTAGTTCTTGCTGAAGCTGTTTCTCAATATCAGGAGTTAAATCTACCAACTTGCCACCAAGAGCCCTGAAATAAAATAAAGATTAGTACAATACTGTACTCAAATATTATACACAAACTTTAAAGCCAAAATGCATCATCCACCCACTTACGCTTTATTTTAAAAGAGGCATGCTATGTAAAATTTGTGTTTTTTTTTTTCCTTCAGGTAAAGAGGGCCTGACAGCTGAAAGGACAGTGCTTGAGATTCGTAGTCCTGAGGTTCCGGGTTCGATCCCCGGTGGAAACCAATTGGCAGAGTTTCTTTCACCCTGATGGCCTTGTTCACCTAGCAGTAAATAGGTACCTGGGAGTTAGACAGCTGCTATAGGCTGCTTCCTGGGGGGGTGTAACAAAAAAGGAGGCGAGGTCGAGGACCGGTCCGCAGGAACGTTAATCCCCAAAATTATTTCAAAATAACTTCAAGAAGGTATATCTGTCCCTTGCCAGGCTCCCCATAGATCATAAATTTTTAGTACTGTACTACAGAACCGACAAATTACCATGTAAGTGAGCAGAGAAGGATGAAATAGTTTACTTTTGACCATTAGGGGCCTCCCATAGGAGAGAGAGAGAGAGAGAGAGATTAAGATGCACAATTTACATTCTTTAAAAGTTTATCAGAATAAGTCAGGGATATCTGTCAAGGATACAAATAGAAGAAAATTTAAATATTAATAGGTGTTACAAATGATTAAAAAATTAAATTTGGCTTTTGAATAAATTTGGGTAAATGACCCATCTAGGACCCATCTCTTACCCCTATTTTACATTACATTTTCCCTCCCTGATATCATTAGGAAGAGTGGAAAGAAGAAATTTCCTTTGTTCTATATATTTCAATTTCACCAGCCAGATTTTTATGTAAAACCAAAATATTTTCAGTCAATTCGGTATTCTAAAGATAATAAAAGGCATCCTGTTAATACAAAGAATCACTATCAGACCTATATAGGTATTAGATATACAGTACTGTATATGTACACTATAATTACACAAAATAAACACTTTTCTAGTATTGTCAGTGACCTCACACATCACCCTCCCCCCCCCCCCCCCCTCATACACAGCCTAGACAAGCATTTCACAACCAGGTTCCATTCCGCAACAACATTGTCAATGTTTATTTTGTGTGTTTACAGATATTGTTGACTTTTTATTAATAAATATAAATGAAAATAATATACTGTACATATACAATAATTTTTATGCAGTGGTTCCACAAGACATGAAAATTATTTCAAGGATTCCACAAGGGTGAAGGAGGATCAAAAGGAGGGATCAAAATGTTGATCAAAACGGGATCAAGGAGGGTCAAAATGTTGAGAATCACTGGCCTGGACTAAACAACCATTACAACAATGCCTTGCTGAACTTCTACATCAATTTCAAACCAGTCACTTGATAAGCTCTTCAGACTCCTCCTATATTCACTTTGTAATATGGTCCATAAATGACATGTACAGTATAACCTTGATTCAACAAACCTCAATTTGGTAAATCCCCGATTGGAACATGTATTTGCCATGCCAGATTTACTCGCCCAATTCAATGAACACGAGTTCGTTGAAGCAGGGGTACGTGTGAATTTGCTTAGGATGTTGGGGCCAAATTCACAAATGGAGGAAACATTACAAGTTATAGATGAGGCCTTTGGAAAGCCATTGAGCATATTTAAAACCAAATTCTATAGTTTATTTTAATTTTGAGATTCCCCAGAAGCCATTCACAAATATTGGTAATTATCCTTTGAAAATTAGTTTTCAAGGCTAGGGAGAGTGAAATATGCAGGATGTAATTAACTTATCACTTCACACTGTTCTCTTTTAATCTCATAATACATTTGTTCTAGTCCCTCTCCTTCAGTTTGCATCCAAAGAAAATTTCTTTTCATACTAACTTTTTGCCATATCATAATTTTTCTTTATATACAGTACACATTCAACATCACTATAAATTCTCCTTTCATACTTACCAGGCAATTTACACTTTCTCTGGTTAAAGATTATGGAAGAGCTATGTTGATAACACCACTTATCAAATACACATCAATGGTAACGTACTTGCTTTTCTTGGAGTAATCCTGAATCTTGTCCAAAAAGAGCTGCTGGATAGGGTCGGAAGCTTTCTTGAGCAGCACAGCTGATGCACCATAATTGCGATGCACTGCACAGCGCAGTGATCTCATCTCGGGAATAAGCCTGGTTACAATCATCCTGCAAATGCAAATATTATGCTAAGGATTACCTTAGGTCAATGCCTTAAAACTCTGAAGACACAGATGGTGCTAAAATGCTTTATACTGTATTCAGAAATGCCAGCCAGTGTACTAAGAGCTTTTCATTCATCCTACTTTTCTCATACTGGCTGTTCATTCATCCGCTTCCTGAAAGTTGTTCACTCATCCTGCCATATACGGAGAACTGTTCATTTATCCTGCCCTGCTGTTCCAAAAGTTGTTGCAAATGGCAGCAAGTATCAAACGATTCAACATCGATAATAGCGCTTAAAAATTGATTCATTCTCGATAATGTTGATTAAACATTACTTGAGCATGTTTTAGTGCCTAGGAGAGAATGGGAGAGAAATACTATGCGTGCTAGTGGCTGTACAATAATTTAACATCTCTTGTATATAAACAATAAAAATATGAATTAAAAAATAAACTTTGGTCTAGTTAGGTTCTAAAATCTGTTGACAAACGGTCTTCAAGTAGTTTAACAACTACTCCATAGTCACGAAGTATATTTTGTTCTCTTGCAAACCTTAAACCTCCTATAGGCCTGGGTTTGCTACCTTTTGCAACATACAGTTCACACCAAACCAAATTCAGGATATATATATTGTAGAATCCACTAACCCGACCTAACCTAATAGTACATAGGATATATATCGTAGAATACACTAACCTGGCATAACATAGGGAAAAATAGGATATATATCCTAGAATACACTAATCCCTAGCCTAACCTAGGGATAAATAGGATATCCTAGAATACACTAACCCCTAGCCTAACCTAGGGATAAACAGGATATATATCCTAGAATATACTAATCCCTAGCCTAACCTAGGGATAAATAGGATATATCCTAGAATACACTAATCCCTAGCCTAACCTAGGGATAAATAGGATATCCTAGAATACACTAACCCCTAGCCTAACCTAGGGATAAACAGGATATATATCCTAGAATACACTAATCCCTAGCCTAACCTAGGGATAAACAGGATATATATCCTAGAATACACTAATCCCTAGCCTAACCTAGGGATAAATAGGACATATATCCTAGAATACACCAATCCCTAGCCTAACCTAGGGATAAATAGGATATATATCCTAGAATACACTAATCCCTAGCCTAACCTAGGGATAAACAGGATATATATCCTAGAATACACTAATCCCTAGCCTAACCTAGGGATAAACAGGATATATATCCTAGAATACACTAATCCCTAGCCTAACCTAGGGATAAACAGGATATATATCCTAGAATACACTAATCCCTAGCCTAACCTAGGGATAAACAGGATATATATCCTAGAATACACTAATCCCTAGCCTAACCTAGGGATAAACAGGATATATATATCCTAGAATACACTAATCCCTAGCCTAACCTAGGGATAAACAGGATATATATCCTAGAATACACTAATCCCTAGCCTAACCTAGGGATAAACAGGATATATATATCCTAGAATACACTAATCCCTAGCCTAACCTAGGAATATAGGATATATATCCTAGAATACACTAATCCCTAGCCTAACCTAGGGATTAATAGGATATATATATCCTAGAATACACTAACCCTGCCTAACCTAGGGATAAATAGGATATATATATCGTAGAATACACTAACCCCGCCTAACCTAGGGATAAATAGGATATATAACCTAGAATACACTAATCCCTAGCCTAACCTAGGGATAAACAGGATATATATCCTAGAATACACTAATCCCTAGCCTAACCTAGGAATATAGGATATATATCCTAGAATACACTAATCCCTAGCCTAACCTAGGGATACAGGATATATATCCTAGAATACACTAATCCCTAGCCTAACCTAGGGATAAACAGGATATATATCCTAGAATACACTAATCCCTAGCCTAACCTAGGGATAAACAGGATATATAACCTAGAATACACTAATCCCTAGCCTAACCTAGGGATAAACAGGATATATATCCTAGAATACACTAATCCCTAGCCTAACCTAGGGATAAATAGGGCTTAAGACATTAGAGAAATAAGTGTATTGTGGACACCCGAGAGGTCGAAGTCTGACCGGCCGATCCATACACAAGTCATCAGCTGATCAGGACAACACACATCAATAACTACCATTTCCAACAGTCATACGCCACCCGTACACCCCCTACCGGACCCTCACTACCCACTAAACACCCCGAGACACAATAACCAACGGAAAATGTTACCTGAGATGGTGGAAAGTGTATGATAAAGAGTCGGTACGGGAAGCCGGGTTGGACTGGTGCTGGAGACGGCCGGACGGTGCTGCCACCCCGCGGCTCAACCCACAACCTCTATATTCTCTTCCCAGGATACACCACGCCTCATTCCATCATCATATTTACCTGTATTTACCTGAAGGATACTCATACTAGTGGTCTCGGTGAGGATAGAAAGATGGCGGCTTGTCAAAAGTCTCTCCCCATTTGCATTTCGGTAATAACCCTTGTTACCGAACCAGTATTTACCCAGGTTTTTTCTAAAGCCTAAAACTGTTAAATTTAACCTACGTTTCAAATGTATATTAAGAATCTGTAATCCTTTACCCCACCGCCCACGGGATGGGTATGGGGTGCATAATAAAGAAAGAAATTGAATTGAAATTCTTTCCTAAATCTATACTTATCCAATATCTTTCCTTCTATATCTGGATGATCTTTTCCAGCTCTACAATATACTGTATATTGTTTATAAATATACAATATATCGTATATTTTCTTGTTATTTATTTATTTTGAAGGCACAATGGATTTTGCAATGTAGATATAAAAGTAATGTAGGAGACATATATGTACATCGCTTCAGTTATATAGCTTGGACATAAATTATTATTGTTAAACTGTTTTATTTAACTGAATAGCTTGAGCTACTTCATCCCTTTGTGTGCATTTATACCTCAATAACATTATTCCATTTTCAATTAATCCAGTTATCATTTAATTAGAATAAATGAATTGGGTACCACACACAGGCCTACACCATTTAGGCTAGATATAATTCCGCAGCAAAAACCTCACTTGAGCATCAGACGCATACAGGTAAGTTGAGATCCACGTTCCGTGCCAACTTATTAAGCTTACGGCAGGTAACAAGGAGAGTGAAGCTTGGCAGCCGAAGCTAACTGTATTAGCTGGGAGAGTATGAACCCTCAGAGCCGGCACCCAAGCACACACAACACGGCATAGGAAAAATTGCTAAATTGGAAGGGTGGAGAAGAACGGGGAACGAACGAGAGAGAGAGAGAGAGAGAGAGAGAGAGAGAGAGAGAGAGAGAGAGAGAGAGAGAGAGAGAGAGAGAGAGAGAGAGAGAGAGAGAGAGAGAGAGAGAGATGGAGAGGAATAAGATAGCCTTGCAAATGGATGGCAAAACTCTAGAGTTCACATATGAAGCTGACATTGTGGGAATGAAGTTCGACTCTTGAATGCCAATGAAGAGCCAAGTGCTTAACCTAGCCCAAAAGGCAGCCAGGAAACTAACACCCCCACGGCGCATCTCACACCTCGACAGCAGTGGCTGCAAAACCTTATATGAAGCACAAGTTCGCTCTCATCTAGAGTATGAACCTCTCTCCTGGACGGCCTGCCCCCCATCATTCATCAGACTTTTGGGCAAAGTGGAAAGACGGGCAAGAAGGCTCATCTCTAGTCTTGACCAAGTCTGGCGGATATGGTCTGAAGATCAGAGCCTGCAACACCGTCGTGATGTTGGTGGTCTTACTGGTATGTACAAGGCCAACATCCTCAAAGTTCCACACCTGGCCCAACTCCGTGGACAACCAGTAGTTGACACCCATAGCACTATAGGCTCTTAACCTTCAACAGTCTTATGCTCGAACTGCCTTTATCAAGAACGTCATTCCATCATCAATCATTAATTCCTAGGCTGACTTGCATCTGGAACTTATTTGCTCAACAGGTTGATACATGGAAGATCAGGTCAACTGCTCACATGAAAGCTCTGACACACAGTTGGCTACTGGATCATCCTGTTCTTTATATGATTGTTACCTAATGTTGTTAATGGATAATGTTTTTGTTTTTTTGAGATATATAAAAGAGTTGTTACATTCTTGTACAGCCACTAGTACGCGTAGCGTTTCGGGCAGGTCCCTGGAATACGATCCCCTGCCGCGAAGAATCGTTGTTACAACCAAGTACACATTTTACTGTTGCGTTAAACAGAGGCTACAGTTAAGGAATTGCGCCCAGTAAATCCTTCCCGGCCAGGATACGAACCCATGACAGCGCTCGCGGAACGCCAGGCGAGTGTCTTACCACTACACCACGGAGACTGAACATGAAATAACTGAGTCTTAAGGAGTAGGCTTCAGATGAGCTTAGGTAGGATAACAGCCCTTGCTTGCAGTGTTACTAAGTACGTCACTTGACAGCCTTTATGAACCCTAGCCTTAGTTAAAAAGGGGGGGGGGGGAGAGTGAGAGGCCGGGAGAGTGAGGAGGGTGAGTGAGAGTGAAAGGGAGGGATGGTGAGAGAGTGAGAGCGCCAAGAATGATGATAGTGGCGGGAGAAGCCAACATGGAGGGGCAGGATAGCCACCACTCCCGCTGTGGCGTGACGCGGGTTGGGCGGAGCAGTGTGTGTGGGCGGATATTGCTCCCTTTTTGTTTTACACTAGTGGCTACAGTAATAATGATAGTTTTTGTTGTACTCTTGTTTGCATGCTAAGAGTTCTCCCTCCCCTTAGCTTATCTGAACCCCTTACCTTCCTTGTTTTCTCAAGATCAGGAACCTCTAATTGCGATGGTTCCCAATTACTGCTGCGTAAACAGGGGGGTGGGGGTGAAGGGCAAACCACCTTGCCCTGCACTTGAACTCTAGGTCGTCAATAACTTAAGAGGCAAGCAATCTTACGGTAGCATAGCCGAGTCTCAGCTTCTGGGTCACGCCTCTCCAACTATCAGTCTTTTAATGCAACGGATTCCCGGCTTCTGACCAGGCCTGGTCAGCCAGGCTGTTAGATGCCATTGCTCGCAGTCTGATCACTGTCTAGGTAATCAGGTATCCTGTGGAGGTATTTATTAAGTTCTCTTCTGAGCGCCGTGGGAGAACTATTATGTTATTGGTCCGATAGCTTTTGTTTTGGAAGGTTCTTCTTATCGAGGCTGTCGTTTTCTTGCAGTTGTGGCCGTTATTTTATTGGGTTCTTTAAGACTAACGTCTTCCGACACGATTACTTACAAGTCTTTAATATTGTGTGATTTGACTGTCTTTCATATGTAGTTTATTTTCGTTTTAACCATAGCGTAGTAGCTGGAACTTGTTTCAAGAAGGCTAGTAGGTTCGTCTCACTCAGTGCTAGTAGCTTTATCTTCCTATATTTTAGTCCTGTTACTTATGGGATGTTTTACATCAAATCTCTGTACTTTCTCAATCGTTGGTTTGTTGTTATAGAGACGGGCTCTCCACGCCGGTGCTGCATACTCTGTACTGGTCAGTCAGACGCTGTGCATAGCGCTCTGAAGATGATGACGATTAAGCCACCCAAAAGGTAGCACGGGCATGAATAGCCCGTAAGTGGTGGCCCCTTTGAGCCATAACCAGTATCAGTAGATGATACTGGAGATCTGTGGAGGTGCGACTGCACCCTGCGTGACGGGAGATGTCTCTCTTGCCCTGAATGCGTCTGTGTCTACGTTCCTCAGGAACTGTCCTGATGTTCGCCAGTAAGAATGGGTCTCGACTCTTAATTTTCTGGGATCTGATCCACATTACGGTAGATTGTGAGAATAAGGGACCTAATAGAGGTGCGGAGAGCAAAATTTATGTCACAACGAGAGAGTATTGAAGTCAAGGTGTCAGTGACCCCACAAGGATGTGGAGCAATGATGCCAGAGACCTGACTGAATTTGTGCGCCCCTTGAGGGACTTGAAGTAGAGGGGGTAGAAATAGCCTAAGCTACTCTATACCTTTGAGATGTATTTTTTCTTGTCTCATTAAACATACTTGAACTTGAACCTGATGTTCGTATATTCGTATATTGACACCGTCGGCATAATAAAAGTCAACTCCGAGACCTCCGTGGATATGAGTGATCACTATACATTGTCAATATTTTGTTTGTATTTTATGAAAGATAAGCTGCACTGAACAAATCCACAAGGGCTGTGATGATGATTCAAACGATCTCTGTGTGTGATAAGCTGCACTGTTCCCCCAATAAGTAGACGACTGACATACCGAAGGAATGCACAAAATACGTGGTAACGAGATCATTTCTTTCATGGATATTATAGGAAATAGAACTCAGAAGGGAGATTCCACAATAAATGGACTTAAACAAGAAATACTGACACACTTGGAAACCTGTCAAGTCCAAAGGGAAGACAGTGAAAGCTAAAAATAAAATCATAGCTGGGAGGGGAGGAGGAGGTGGGGGTGGGTGGGTGGGTGGGGGGGGGGTGAGATATAAGAGGCTTATCTTTGGGGGTTGACCCCCTCACCACCCCATCCACCCCTGATAAATTAAGACCTGCTTGAGTATATAAAACCAGAATATTGACTCATTTATTTTTCCTATATTATCATTTTCCCTGTATCATTATTTTTCTACATATATAGATTATATAAACGACATTTAATTTTTTTTTTTTTACAAATCTTTCATTCCCACCTCTCACTTAGGCTGGACGGTAGAGCGACGGTCTCACTTCATGCAGGTCGGCGTTCAATCCCCCGACCGTCCAAGTGGTTGGACACCATTCCATCCCTCCCCGCCCCCCGTCCCAAATCCTGATCCCTTCCAAGTGCTATATAGTCGTAATGGCTTGGCGCTCTCTCCCGATAATTCCCTTCCACCTCTCTCATCGTTATCGGAGCTCAACATCACAAGAGAAATCATCAACACAAACTATTATGCTGGAGGAAGGCTTCGCTAGGAGCAGTTAGCCGAGTTCTGTTAGTTTAGGACTGTGAAGACGCCGCCTGGGCTAATAACGTCTTGGACTGAAACTTCTTGGACCGAAACTTTCTAGGCTAAAATACTCAGGACAGAAACTGCCCGAGCTACAAAATCCGTTTTCGAAACTCAGTGACCTTTTGTGGCCTAAAGTGAAAATGGGCACGAAATGTTTACATGACAAATTAACACATAAGAGAATTTGCAATCCAATCCAATAACATTTTAACATTTTAATTAATATTTAATTAAATTTAATTTGTATTTAACTTTGGCTTTTTACTTCCTTTTGTTTCTCCATATTCACATTTTGTATACAGCTTTTTTATGCTACGTAAAAGCATACATCGGCTGGATATAATAACCGCGTTACTTCACTTAACGTAACAGTATATACAGTACACTGGTCTACGGGCTCACCATAGC